CAGATGTAATAGAGTGGATTTGACATGCCCTGAATTGATTCCTAGGTGGAATATGAGACAATGGATTCACCAGCAAGTTGCCTCACAATAGTCAGAGATTGGTAATATTTGAATTTCAAATTTCATATACAACACTCTGTGCACTCAGAGCTCGTATATTTGCAAGATAGACTGTAGAGACATAGATGGTTACTTTTACTACCTCTGGGGCTGCACACATCCTCGCCATGACCCACTGCCTGCACCCCCGCTGGTACCCCCATTGGCACCCCCGCTGGCACCCCTGTTGGCACCCCCGCCGGCACCCCCGCTGGCACCCCCGCCAGTCTAGCACCCCCCGCCGCACCGGTGCCTTGCTCCTGTGATTTTCTTATATGTAAGATTATGTAAACTGACAGCTCGGAACACGTCAAGTCACTAGCCAATCAGAACCTGTATAAACGTCGTACCTAAGTGTTTACTGCTCTTCTAACACTGTTCTTACAGTTATGCAGCTGAAAACCATCGGAATAAGGTCTCCATATGCTATTCTTGTTGAATATGTAGGTACTTCATATCCTTTGTCCACCTAAAAATCGAAACATGAAAACAGTTCACCATTGCTCAAGGTTCCTATGTAGACAATGGTTCAACATGGTTCACTTTGAGTATGGCAAAAAATATTTTTTCTACACACAAGCAATTCAATACAGCTGAATGATATACTCTTTGGCAGTGTCTGAAACAAATTCTGAGAGCCCTGGACCCTGGAACCATTCAAAAACTTGAAATGAGTCCGAAAAATAGGGTCTTGATAAACATGAGATATGGGCTGGTTTGAAGAGACATGGGCCACCGGTCATGTTGAATATAGTATTTTACAATGTTTCGGTGCCCTACCTCTCATCACATGGCCTCATTTCCGACTAAGAAGCGCACATACACACTCAGGCTCATAAAATCAATTGTCACCCAGAAACAAGAGCAGTGAAGTTGTTTCACTGGGATTGGGTAAAGGTTACCTAGAAGTCACTTGGGTTGCAGTACAGAAGCTTTGGAAAGTGATTTTGTAGTTGATCCACATTTGGTAGGCTGGCAGATGCTTGTGCACCCCCACGGCACCCCCCGTGGCACCCCCCGCGGCACCCCCTGTGGTTGACCCCCCCCCCCAACCCCTGCAAGGATTTAATTGACAAATGTCCTGCTCAATCCATTGTAAGAGTCTACAGTATTATTGGATTCAGTAAAGGGCCCAAATGGTGTGTAGACAAGAAGTATGAAATCCGGAAATCAACAATTATGACACCTCCACGGAATATGCTGCAAATGGAGAGAAAAATTTGAGTGCAGACAGACTACCTGAAGCAAACAGACAGAGAAAAGAAACATTAGCCATTTCTTGTTGATGATGTTGGCTGTCCCTGGAGCATGTACTTGGGAGATTTGCCTAACAAATCAAGTTGCACATTTTTCAAATTTTTAGTTTGACCTGACAGCTTGAGCAGACCATGCTAAAATGAACCAAGTCATATATATCAGTGCCCCAAGCCAAGCCAAAAGATTTCGGTAAATTTGCACAGTTTTGATATCCCAGCCCCTGCCGAAGCATCAGGGAGTCACATGGCTGTAGCTGCAGACCAACCCCAGACACAGCCTCCAAACTCCTGGCAAAATGAAGGATAATTATGCTGCATGCTATGACCACAGCGAGAATAGATAGATCAAAATATGATGCAATGCACCCCTACCCCTGCTCCTGTGGTTGACCCCACAGCGGGCCCTGCGGCACCCCCTGCGGCACCCCTTGTGGCACCCCCTGCGGCACCCCCCGCAGCACCCCCCGCAGCACCCCCCGTGGCACCCCCCGCAGCAGACCCCGCCAAATGATGGGATCAAGTGCATCACCAGTCCCATTGTGCAGGGTGCATTTTGGGCTTTCTAAGCTCAAATTCATGCTTAACTAGTGTATTTACCGATAGAAATGATACCAGGATGATTTGGGGAAGGCTTCCATTTTTTTGGGCGGAAAATCACGTGATTATGCGCCCATTGTCTGCCACAGCATGCAATGGATCAAGCAACACCTCCGAAATCATGCCGAATGGTGCACAAAAGGTGCCCCAAAAGTCACGTGATAATGCGCCCACTGCCCGCCATGGTGTGCGGGGGGCCAGTAGCGCCCCCGCCAACCCCCGCCAACCCCTGCTAGCCATCTTTGATAATTTTCATGCGGTGCATCACGTGATTTTTTTACCCCGCCATCAGCCGCCATCCCGCCCATTGGATGTGTCATGTGATTCATTTTTTTTTCGCGCCCACCTGCCCGCTCCCAATGATAAATCACATGACATGTACAGACCCCCCCCTGCTGACCCCCGCATATGCCCCCGCCCCCAAATGGACCAAATCCCCCCCGCGGGCCCCGCAGGGGGGTACCTGTTAGGTACCCTCAGAGCTACGTCTGAGGGTACCCAGGAGGACCCCCGCGGGGGTGCAACCGGGTGATGGCGGTGGTAACTGAGGTGTGCGTATGCTGACCCAGCGGCGAAGAACGAGAAATTGATGTGTCAATGCCCGACTTCCAGAGAACCACCCTCGACTATTTTGTGTGTATGCAGACTATATGACAGTGCCGCGGAACATCTGGAGCGCCGTAGATTTGCTTTCACACGCCGCAGGTGTCACAATCGAGTGCTGCCAACGGTCTCCGAGGTCGAAATGGTAATTGGTTTGATTTTCCCCGGACGTTCAAATCTTGACGAAAGGTTGAACAGAGAAGCATATGGTTGTCTTGATTGAAAAGTCAGTCATCAAGGATTGGCAGCATATCTCTGCAAATACTTCTCCAAGAACTTCAAGATTCAGTGGATTAATGATCCCAAGGCTGTTTTTTGTCCTCCGAAACCCGAGGACCTCCAAGGGCCTAGCAACATGAATTCCAATCAGAGAAAATTGATCAATCAGACATTTTGTCCACTCGGTCTAACACACATCAAATCATCTATATATGAACGTTTCATTATCACTCTCCAAACTGTGTCCGGAATTATATAAGCACTGAAAACATCATTCAGTGACAACACATTCACTGACAAAAACTGATCTACATCACAGATCAGAAGTGTCATTAAGAAACTCCGATGACAGAAGCCACATGTCCGAAAAATCGGGAAATAATCAAGTCTCACGTCAACTGCAGTCTTGACAAAGCCCATTCTCCGACTGGTCTCAAATGGGCGGAGAAGCGTATGAGTTTCATATCCGGACCGGCGAACTCTGGAAAGAATCGTTACATGCATGACGGATGGGCAGCATAAAAGCACCGACCTGACCGAGCCACAAAGATCACTTGCATTCCACACAATGCCTTCAGACTCGACGACTACTGCGACTCCTCTCCGAATTACGATTGTTGGCGCTGGCCTGGGTGGTCTTGCGGCTGCCGTGGCCTTACGGCAGATTGGGCACATCGTTCAAGTATTCGAGCGGTCAGAGAACAAGACCGAGGTCGGCGCGGCGCTAGGGATCCAGCCCAACGCGATGCGCGTATTGAAGCACCTCGGCGTCCAAGTGGAAAATTTCAAAGGCGTGTTTGTCACGGGGGTGAGCCGCCATTTCATTTGCACGATACCCCGGCACTTTTGCACTTCCCAGATCATCAGTTTTGACCCTGTCACCGGGGACGGGCAAGAGCACAAGTTCCTGCCGAGTGCGAAACATGGAGAGAGCGACGCAAGTGATATCCCTTCCAAAATCCGAGCTCTGTGACTCAAACCCAACCAGTGGTTGCTCATGTGTCACCGGACCGACATTTATGACGAACTAAAACGCGTAGCGCTCGATACCACAGGCGGGTTTCCACAGGTGTTGATGCGCTTCGGCTGCAAAGTCCTCTCTTGCTCCCCAGAGGAAGGCACTGTGGTACTTGAATCGGGGGAGACCATCCACGCGGACCTGGTCATTGGAGCAGATGGCATCCAGGTGCGTTGCCCAGCTTGCCTTTCTGTCTTTCCTGTGTCAATCTGAATTGCGGCTCAACGAACTGGTTCCAGTCGCTCATCCGTACGCATGTGCTCGGATATGCGCAGGATGCCACACCCACCGGCATCGCTTGTTGCCGTTCAGTGTTCAACGCGACTCCTACGGATGGCAGCTTCTCGGGTCTGGAGTGGCTCAGCGAAGGAGACCCTGGCGTTCGCTCTGTCGCCTGGAAAGGCCTGCCCTTCCGGATGATCCTCTGTTATCCGTGCAGAAACGGAGAGCTCGTCAATTCGGCTCACTTCTACACGGAAACAGAGGAAGAGAAGCAGGACGGTGAGTGGCATGGCAGCGATTCTCAACGCGGACTAAAGCCTCGTTCCATATCCTTATTGCAGTCTCGCACCCAGCTTCGACTCCGACGATGTCCCCGGCGCAGGTGCGGGCCAAGTTTGCGGACTACCACCCCAAGTTCCACCGCCTGCTCGACCTGCCGAACCACGCGGGAAAGATCTTCCGCTGGCGGCTCCGTGTGCTTCCTGCGATCCCGACGTGGTGTAAAGGTCGCACTGCACTCCTCGGAGATGCGGCGCATGCCACGCTCCCTTTCTTGGCCCAGGGTGCGGCGATGGCGATCGAGGACGCGGGTGTGCTCGCGTGTATGCTGCCGCTTGGCACCACGCGCGAGGATGTCTCTGCACGCCTTGCAGTGTGGGAAGATATCCGCAAGCCGAGAGCAGACTTTGTGAACAAGACGACGATCGAGCAGATGGAATTTATCATCGCCGTGCAACAAGGGACTGCGCTGGGTGAGGGGCTACAGTCGCACGTGGTTTGAATTGCGATTGATTGACATTTCTCCATTCAAGGTGACACGCGGTCCAAGTCGGCAGAATATGATGCAATCGCAGCCGGTCGCCTGGCTTATCAGGAAAAGTTCGAACGCGTTTGAATTGCATAGCATATTATGATTAGATGATCCCTAGAGGCTCCCCGAATTTATTGATTGAATGGGATTGCATGAAAACCTCTGCATCTTGTGGATGCATTGAGTGAGAGAAGGAGATCAATGCATCATCTTGTGAGGGAGAGAGCCGAAGAGCAGGGGGTGGCTGTGAGCTCACTCTCTCCTTCCACCCACCTGCCGGCGATCTCATCCTCGACAAATTCCCATTTCTGCGCTCTTATTACACACTCTTTAATGCTTCTATATGACTGACTATCACCCAGAACTCGAGACTATCTGCATAAATATCTGTACACCACGGATTCCATCTCAAGCTCGAATTTGGATGCTATTTAAGAGTGTCTCTGGGGTACACCCCAATTCCCTCCATGAAGCTGAGTATCTCCCTCTCTTTTCACAGTTACAGCTCGACATATACACTGCTCGTTGACTCGATCCTGGCATTAGAACGACGCCATCTACATCCCCCAGCCTTCAAAACCCCCCCCTTTCTGCCCACTTCGAGCTGCCAAACCCCCCCTGATCTTCCAGACAGTAATCCCAGTCCATTCCTTCGATTTCTGGCCGCCCATTCGCTCCAAAATCCCCTGCCCCATACCCTGCAAGCTGCGAATGCCTCTTCGCTTCAGATGCACGCTTATTCGGGTTTCCCTCCCTCTCTCATTGGGCGCTCAAATCCTGCGATTTAATCGCACCCAGAGCGATATTATCGCATATTTTCGATCTTTGGGGCTCCTTCACTTGTCTGACTACGCTGCAGGGTTATTTCGCGGTCAGCCCACATTCTGGACGAGCAACAGTCTCCCCCCTGCAGCCTGCGGACTGGAGCCAGGTTTTTCGCTTGAATTCCGGCGCTTATTCGCATTTCACTCCCATTCCTATTGGGTGCTCGTTTCCTGCGATTTAATCGCACCCAGTGCGAGATTATGGCATATTTTCGGTCTTTTGGGTTCCTTGCGTTGTCTGACAACGTTGCAGGGGTATTCCACGGCGACTCGTCATTCTGGATTGTGTTTTCCTGGGCCAGGCGCTGCTCGATTCCACATAGCGTCAATATTTATGCATATCGTGCATTTTTCGACTGTGCATAGCCTGCACTTGCGCATATTGTGCGCTGCGCATATTCTGCGTCCTTTCTGGCGTGCATATCGTGCATTTTTCAATCGTGCATAGCCTGCACTTACGCCTATCGTGCGCTGCGCATATCCTGCGCCTTTCCTTAGTGCATGTTGTGCATTTTCGACCGTGCGTAGCCTGCACTGCGCATATCGTGTGCTGCGCATATCCTGCACCTTTCCTGCGGTGCATATCGTGCATTTTTGACTGTGCATATTGTGCACTGCGTATATTCTGCGTATTTTCCACTGGACATATTGTGCATTTTGATGGTGAATCCCCTGCACCTGCGCCTATCGTGCGCTGCGCATATTCTGCGTGTGTTTTACTGTGCATATCGCGCATTTTTGATGGTGCATATCGTGCGCTGCGCATAGTCTGTGTGTGTTTTACTGTGCATATTGCGCATTTTTGATGGTGCATATCGTGCGCTGCGCATATTCTGCGTATTTTGGGTGTGCATATCATGCATTTTGAGTGTGCATAGCCTGCACTGGCGCATATTGTGCGCTGCGCATATTCTGCCAATTTCCTGTAGTGCATATTGTGCACTTTTTGACCGTGCATAGCCTGCACCTGCGCCTATCCTGCATATTTTCTGGCATGCATATCATGCATTTTCAACTGTGCATAGCCTGCACTTGCGCATATCTTGTGCTGCGCAGAGTCTGTGTATTTTTGGGCATGCATATTGTGCACGTCGTGCATGTCGTGCATTTTTTGATGGTGCATATTGTGCGCTGCGCATAGTCTGCATATTTTGGGTGTGCATATCGTGCATTTTGAGTGTACATAGGCTGCACATGTGCATATCTTGTGCTGCGCATATTCTGCGTCCTTTCTGGCGTGCATAGCGTGCATTTTTCAACCGTGCATAGCCTGCACATGCGCATATTGTGCACTGCGCATATTCTGCGTCCTTTCTGGCATGCATATTGTGTATTGTGCACTGCGCATATTCTGCATATTTTTGGGCGTGCATATCATGCATTTTTGACCGTGCATAGCCTGCACTTGCGCATATCGTCCGCTGCGCATATTCTGCGTCCTTTCTGGCGTGCATATTGTGCACTCTTTGATTGTGCATATTCTGCGTATTTCTTGGGCGTGCATATTGTGCATGTTGTGCATGTTGTACATTTTCGACTTTGCTTCGCCTGCACCTGCGCATATCCTGCATATTTTCTACTGTGCATATCATGCATTTTCTACTGTGCATAGCCTGCATTGCGTATATCCTGCCCTGCACATATCCTGCGCCTTTCCTGTGGTTCCTATCTTGCATTTTCGACTGTGCATAGCCTGCACTTGCGCACATTCTGTGTATTCTCTGGGATGCATATTGTGCATTCTTGATGGTGCATAGCCTGCACCTGCGCATAGCCTGCACTTGCGCACATTCTGCGTATTCTCTGGGATGCATATAGTGCATTCTTGATGGTGCATAGGCTGCACCTGCGCATACCTTGCGCTGCGCATATCCTGCATATTTCTGGCACGGATACTGTGCATTTCGATGGTGCATAGCCTACACCTGCGCATATCCTGCATATTTCCTGCCGTGCATATCATGCTTTTCAATAGCCTGCACTTGCGCATATGGCGCACTGTTTTTCTCCCGTGCATATCGTGCTTTTCACAGTGCATGGCCTGCACTTGCACATATCCTGTGTATTTTCTACTGTGCATATCGTGTTTTTCGGCAGTGGATAGCATGCACCTACGGCTATTCGTTGCCTGCACCCACGCATATTGTGCACTGTGCACATCCTGCGCATTTTCTGGCGTGCATAGCCTGCACCCACGCATATCGTGCGCCGTGCATAGCCTACACATTTTCCGGCATGCATATCGTCCATATTTCGGCTGCATATCATCCATATTTGACCGTGCATTGCCTGCACATGCTCATTTCATGCACTGGGCGTAGCCTGCACATTTTCCGGCTTGCATATTTCGCCTATTTCGACTTTGATTAGCCTAGAATTGCGCATATCCTGCGTTTTCCTGCGGTGTATATCATGCATTTTTGACAATGCATAGCCTGCATCTGTGCATTTTGTGCACTGTGCATATCCTGCACATTTTCCGGCGTGTATATTGTACATACTTTGACGTTCATTAGCCAAGAACTGCGCATATCATGTGCTGCGCATATCCTGCGTTGTTTCCTGGGTGCATATCGTGCATATCTCGACTGCATATCATGCATATTTTGACAGTGCATGACCTGCACATTTTCCGGCGTGCATATCATGGATAATTCGACTGCCTATTGTGCATTTTTGACGGTGCATAGCCTGCACATGCGCATATTGTGTCCCGTGCATAGCCTGCACATTTTCCGGCGTGCATATCGTGCATACTTTACTGACACACAAGCTGTGCTGCTTCCTTTTGGGTGAGCCGGCGTTGTTCTGGCTGGGCAGCACATTTTGGGGTCATCCGCACCCCGCCGGCTTTGCGCCCTGGGCTCAGCTCCCACACCCAATCACACTACTGTTGTGCAACACAGTATTTTATTTGATGAAATTTCTGGCCAGCAAAGGCTCAACTGAAGAAGATGGATGCATTGAGTGAGAGAAGGAGATCAATGCATCATCTTGTGAGGGAGAGAGCCGAAGAGCAGGGGGTGGCTGTGAGCTCACTCTCTCCTTCCACCCACCTGCCGGCGATCTCATCCTCGACAAATTCCCATTTCTGCGCTCACCCACCCACCCACAGCCTGTTTGATTTTTGATTGCTGTACAGCAGTAGAGCAGAGTCTGCGGGGTCATCCGCACCCCGCCGGCTTTGCGCCTTGGGCTCAGCTCCCACACCCAATCACACTACTGTTGTGCAACACAGTATTTTATTTGATGAAATTTCTGGCCAGCAAAGGCTCAACTGAAGAAGATAGTAACGGGAGCACTGTTCTCTCCCGCGACATTTAAACAACCCAGTTACCTAAGGGTGTTCCAGCCTTGGTCGAACCCAAGGTTGGCCACTCGCCCTACGCAGAAATACACCTTTCAAGTTCTCCTCAGAGACACCGAGGTGCTTCAGCACGCGCATCGCGTTAGCCGCCCAATCCAGCACCAAAACTCGTGACATGGAGAGGAGAAGAGATGGTAGTACCGTCTGAGGGTATCGTGCTGAGTGATGGTACTTGTCGCACATCTCGGTTGCGCACTTATACTGTAGGGATTCTGGCCAAGGGCCGTTTAGCCCGTCGAGTAAGGAGTGCTTATGCTCGGGACGCGTTGATGTTTGTCCCCGTGACGGCTGTTGAGAATAGTTCTCTGCCAAGATTGCGACGAGTAGACGGAACGGTGTAGAGTCGATCGGCAGAGCTCCCATCAAATCTATCCCGATTCGGCTTCGACTCACGTGAGCTTTACTGGATGGATGAATTTATTACTTCTAGCAACCCAAAGGGGAAATTCCCATCAATATCTTCATAACTCATCGCTAATGACGCTCGAGCCTGCGTTCCTGTTCGGGTTGGGGAGGGGGGCTTAGTCAGTCTGGGATCGGAGATGTGGTTGCTCGTATTTCTTGAGTACTACTAGTAATGGCATTCACCGTCGAGTCAACATCGGACGGGACATGAGAGCAAAGAATTCATTGAGGCTTGGATTACACCGTAGCTGATATAGATTGAATAGGCGGGGTGTTTGCTCACACGATGACAGGCGATGGCGTGTTACACTGTTAAGGCACGCGGCCATATTTGGTCTTCGACTTGGTTTAATTGAGGACCATTCGTGAGACACTGCAGGGGGACTTAATTCTTTTCTGTGGAAAATGCGTGACAATCTAGAAGTCCGATTTTCACCGTTATGTTTTCAGACAAAAAATATATACTGAAAATAGACGTCGATTTACAGCTCAATTTTTACCATTAATAGACATCTATTCCTCCCGAAAACAGAACTGAAAATAGATCATCTTTTTTTTGATCGATTCCCACTGGGAATAGACGTCGATTTTCACTGAAAATAGAGACAAAGAAAAGATGATATTTTTTCACTGAAAACAGATTAAAACCACTGGAAGAATCTGTTGATTCCGGCCCCAATTCACATCACCAGTCCTGCAGCATGATTCCAACATGTTGTGAGTAGCATCCAGTAGCCTTTTGCAAGGCTAGGGATGCAAATTGGGGCCAGAATCAACAGATTCTTCTAGTGGTTTTAATCTGTTTTCAGTGAAAAAATATCATCTTTTCTTTGTCTCTATTTTCAGTGAAAATCGACGTCTATTCCCAGTGGGAATCGATCAAAAAAAAGATGATCTATTTACAGTTCTGTTTTCGGGAGGAATAGATGTCTATTAATGGTAAAAATTGAGCTGTAAATTGATGTCTATTTTCAGTATATATTTTTTGTCTGAAAACATAACGGTGAAAATCGGACTTCTAGATTGTCACGCATTTTCCACAGAAAAAAATTAAGTCCCCCCGCAGTGAGAGGGGCACCCTTGGGGGAGAACAATAAGCTGGCGTAAATAACCAGAAGTCGCTCAATCCGTTCACCTCTAATTGATTGACAGAACATCAACCTGTCTTGGGGCTTCAGACATTTCACATGGTGCGATGAGGCCGATCAAGGCCGTGAAAATCTCGAACTCCCAGGGGCGGAATCATTCCAGCGAACTGAGCGCACGATTAATTGCCAGCATATACGTCATAACAGCGGCATACCGAACTGTACGGTTAGTCAGCTACTGGCAAGTACGAGATTCATGACAGGGGTCATGATTTGCACCCATCCAGTCCAGCTCAGTATCACCCGCCTGTCCGAGAACTCCGAACTGAATTTCAGTTCTGGCTCTGGAAACATTAACCCAGACCTCGGATTGACTCCGGTCAAGTTCTGGTTCGGATCGATCTCCGGATCCAGCCTGTTGATCAGTGCTTCAATGCTGATGGATTCCATTCCGACGGATTGCGACACGGATGAGCCATGCAGCTGTGCACGCTGAAGCCCATGGAGGTGCTGCGCCGCACCAGAATCACCTC